TTCTCTGCTCTCCGTCAGAAGAAGTAGTAGTAGTAGTAGTAGTTGTAGTACCCTTCTCAGCAGCCTTGTCCCGTCCCCCGCACCTTTATCGTTCGGATTATGTAGATTTTCATGCGGCACGTCAGTGGCTCATTTGCATGCAATTATTTTGCGGGGCTCTTCGATGAAGAAACTTCCAACCCTTGGATGGCATGGCTGACGACGAGGGCGGGGTCGCATTTCCCGATAAAAAGACAAATTGTGACATGTACTTCAGTTTCAGTTACACAATATTGATGCCGATGCCTTGTAATTTGAGCAGCGAAGGCGGCGGCCAAGTAAGAAAATTCATTCGTCTTCAATGGACATTTAATCAAGCTGCGAATTCGACTCCCCGAAATGAATTTTCTTCAACATCAATGACAAATGCATGCAAACAAGAAAACAAAAAAACAAAAAACTCTAAAAAAAATAATAAAGAAAATGATAAGGATAGGAACAAAAAAATGGTAAATGAAATGAAATTACTGAGCAGAAAAGTGGGATGGAAATGGAGGGGTTCGGGTTTGGGCTTTGGCCTGGGCTTCCAAGGGAAAAAATGCAAATGGTGAAATTTTAAACCCTTGAATGGGCGCAGCCATTGTCTTTGATGGTCGGCGGGAAAACAGGAAAAGCCGGCAAATGGGAATGTGGGGGCAGTAGCAGCAGCATCCTGGGTTGCCCATTTGCCAACTGGGCTGTAAGTAAGCGCATTTTTCCCCGATTTTTTTTCCGTCCGCTTCTATTTTTCACTGCTGCCTGCCGCCTGCCGCCGCTTCTTCTTCCTTCCGCTCATTTGTCTCAGCATGAAAAACCCGCGATTTTCCTCCATTCTATGTGTATATGTGTAATTCTTTTTTTTTCGTTGGTTCTGATTTTAATTGTATTTAGTTACATTAGTAATTATCGATTTTTCCACGGCTTGGCGGGACCTTGGCTAGGATCGTTGGACGTTACTGTACCTGCCAGCGGAAATAAGGGCTTAATTCCAGAGGGTTTTTTTTTCGGAATTCGAGGGGTGGGGAAGGGTGGTAAACCTTTTAAGAAGATTTTTTTTTTTGAGAACAAAAGCACAAATTGGGGCACATTAAATAAATAATGTACAAGAAATGTATATGGGAAATAGAGTCATTAATAGCGGATACATTTTTTTTTTACTTAAAGGAGAGCATCTGTAAGTTTTAAAGGAACAAACTGAAGGGAGAAACATTTAAAATAAAAAGAGAAAAAAAATTAATAAATAAATAAAGAATGGAAGCTACCTACGAGAAGATATTCAAACTTCGGCAGTTGGAATATATCATAGAAAATCAATAAATTTCGAAAAAAAAAATCCCAACTGGAGAGATCGAACATTTTTATATGTTAAATTAAAACAAAAAAACGAATTTAAAAAAGAATTTTTGAAAAGTTTCAAGGATCAAGAATTGGGTTACTATTGTTGAATCGGTGAAATGAAAAGGAGGACAGGGGAACCAAAATCAAAAATGTACTTTATAGGGTCGAAATAACTTCTTCAATACGTTGAAACTTTCTTAAATTTATGGTTTGTTTTATAGTAACAAAATACTACAACTTTTGTTGTCTTTACTACTTTATATATTTAAATATCAAAGAAATAAAGCAATTTCTTTTTCATAAATATATGCTCAAGAAGTACCAAAATCCTTAATATTTAATATGTTAACTTTAGTAAAGAGGAAACTTTATTCATTAGACTCTTACTTGATGTCCAGAGGCTTTCCTTCTTGCATTTATTGCCTTGATGCTTCTCCTGCATTGATGCCACCCCGGTACCTTGTTCATTTATGGTTTAGACAGATTTTGTGTCTTTGATCAACGTGGTTGCAGTTGCTTTGGTTTTTTAACCCCCATTTTTTAGCGCCCGTTTTTATGCAATTCTTCTTTACCAAGCATTTGATACAGTTTTTTTTTTGCTGTTGTTGTTGCTCTTCACTGGTTACTTGTCCTTGTCAAAGCCGGTCTCGCTTTTCAATTATACCCGACTAGTCAGGACTCTCTGAAATATCTGAGCTGCACTAAACTGACCAGACCACGAAGCGGGACAGGATGAACAGGAGGTGCAGGAGGAACTATTGTGCCATTTAAGCCATATATCACTCATACGCAGCATTGACGACGCTTTATTTTCATGCACTAATTGCGTTAGAATTTCAATAGGGGAAGAGAGAAGACAGAAAGGCTTGCCCCTTCTCCACACCTCCCAATCCTCTTGTGGAAAGCTCTCCTCTCCCTCTCCACCTCTTTCTCTTTGATTTGACTTTAGCACATGAAGAGTTTTTAATTGGAATTTGCAGTTGGGAGATTATCAAAACCAGGCAAGGAGCAGTGATTTTTCTCTGCTCTGTTCCTCCTGCTCCTTGGATTTTTTTTCGGGGTAGTCATCGGATACATACGTACGCACATATATACATATATATACCTGCCCAATGCCAATTTTTTCCTTCGACTTGCTTGCCAAGACTTTGCTTGCCACGCAGCCTTTTTTTTTTTGCTCTCGTCTGTGTATTGCTTTACATAAGACCCCGGGACCGGACAGTTCGGAGAAGTCCGTAGGAGAGTCCGTAGTCCAAAGTCCGGGTGTGCCCTCACGGCCATTAGAGCGCTTCTGTGCTCTGCTCTGTCGTTGTCGTAATTAAAAACAAGGAAAAATTCTGCACGGCACAGAGGAAAGCAAAAAAATGTGCCAAGAAGGCCGAAACCCAGGAAGGGAGTGGGTTTGGGATTGGGATTGGGATCGGGTCGGAGGTTCGCCTTGGGTTCTCGCGCGCTCAGCACACCTTCCTGCCCTCCATTCCGTTCCATTCCTCATCCCTGCATGGCCGCAATTTATTTAAATTTTCTGTACCGAACTCTTTGGCTCCTTCTTAATTTCTTTAGCCCTTTTCTCTACTTTTTTTGCTGCTTTTAATAAAGTGCTGGACACACTGGGCTCTCAGCATAAGAAGAAGCAAAAAAAAAAGGTCCAAGAAAATTCTCCAAGAAGAAAGTTGCGTAAATTTGTTATGTACTTTTTTTTCCTTTTTTGTTTTGTTTTTAACTTAAATAAATAAATAAGAGGAAGGAGATTCGGGGTAAAGTCTTGGCGTTGATGAGTGGAGCAAGCGACCACAGCCCATCTGACACACACACACCCATAGAGCGAAGCAATCATGCATCCTTTCCTGACGTGGACCAGGACCTCACCACACCATACCCGATCCCCCTACCCCTGGCCCGTAGTTCCGTTTCCGGCGCCTGCCATTTGCATCTACAGCAGAGGAAAGCAAAAAAATTGTGTTCTTTCATTTATTCGAAGGATTCTTCATCTGCCCCTCTCCTGCTCTGTCGAAGAAGAAAAAGATTTTCTTTCTTTCCTGTCTTTTTTCTTCAATTTTTAAACACACAAACTGGACGACTGGCGACCCGAAGGGGTGGAACATGGGGTGGCCGTGGCGGGAATTTCTTTTTGCGGCTTGAGCGAACTGAAAGAACGGGTACACAAATTTCAACCTACTCAATTTTTGCCTTAATTTCTTTTCTGTTTCGCCAAGAGACCTTCGGGCCACCCAGCGCCAGCCCAATCTTCCCGCTCCCAGCGTCCATTGCCAGTCTCCGTCTCCAATCTCCCATCTCCACCTTCCATGCAGGGGGTTTTTTTTTTGCCAGGCGGTAATAAGAATTTTTTCTTGGGCATCTCTCCGGAGTGTGCGTGAGCCGTAGTGTTTTTTCCGTATTTTTAATTTAAAATGCGAAGCATGGAAAAAATATATATATATGTATGTATAAACTGGTCGAAGGAGAAGGGCCGTGGGTGGAAAATCGGGGGAGGGAAGGAAGGCTCTTGCGCACTGCTTAAAAGAAAAACTTCTGAAGTAAATATTTGTCTGTCCAATTGCTGCGGCGACTGCCAACTGCAGCGCGGATTGGGTTGGGAAATGGTTGAGATGGAGATGGGTGGAGGCGGAGACGGAGACGGAGATGGTGAGGGCGAGGGCTATGCGGGTGGTGTGTGCTGGTACTGGGTGACAACAGTGGACAGTGGACGGTGGGTGTGGGCGTTGTCGTTGCTGATGGCGAAAGTGTTGCTGCTGGACGGGTTGCTGCTGCTGCGGCCCTCTATGGACACTGGTGACCGAACATTGCCAAGACAAGCGACGCCGTAATGACTGTCACAGCGCAAACACACGCCGCCGCCGTCCATTCCAAAAAAATTTCCATCACCTAAGCCCTGTTATGTATTCCCCCAGGGCAACCTTCCGAGAGTGTGTGCTTTTAAGGAATGGGCGCGGTTCTTGGAACTCTTTCAACTATCCCCCGATATAGGCTATTTTTCAATCAAATCTCTTCGTACATATATCATATTCAATTTGTGTAAATTGCCAAGGGAAACTGCCTTCGAGCCGTGGGAAACAGTTTACTAATATCAAGTCCTAAATACAATAATATCCCTTAAAAAAGCTAGGCGAAAAGGGTGAAATAGATAAGAAGTATTAAAAATTAAAACAAATAAGTTAAAGTTATGGCTTTGGTGGTAAAGGTTGGCATGTTTCCATACACATTAAAAAGAAGTCAAACTAGTTTGACTTGATTTAAATGAATAATTCAACACAAGATGGTCTGAAATATGAGTTACATGAGTTATTCGAGTACTAATCAGTCATATTTCATATTTAAATCAGCTTAAATTGGACAGGGTTACGGTGTGACATGGCATAAATAAATATCAGGTTGATTTTGGAGAGTTAAATCCCTGAATTTATAATAATTAGAACGGATTTCCTTAATAGAATATAGAATCAGCTTCGATCCGCTCTACTAAGGTGTTGTAAAAGTGGCTTTTATAGATTTTAAAAGACATAGTTTAAACTTAAGGAAATCTTTAATGATTTAAGATTTTAGCCAGCTGCCATAAAGTCCCTTAAACATATTTTTAATAATCCTAACTAATATAATCCCTTCTTTTTCCTACGTCATTCCAGGGCCTCTTGCGCACCGCCGAACAATTAAAGATCAAGGGCCTCTGCGAAACCGCCGAGAATGCAGATGATTTAAACGACGCAGCCACAGCAACGATCACAGTATCGGAGAACATTCAGCAGGCGGTTGTTGGAAACATTGTGAATGCCACCATAGTTCCTGGAGCAGCTTCGCCATCCTTGGAACAGCAACAGCAGCACCAGGCACAGGACCAGCAGCAGGTTCATGCCCAGCAACAGCAGCAACAAATCAACGCCGCCTTGCTGACGCAACACGGAGGAGTGCCAAGTGGCAGCAGTGGTGTTCCCCTATCCGGACAGTTGTTGAGCTCCACAGCCAGCGGCAGTAGCGGTAGCTCGGGTTCCGGTGGACAGCAGACTTCACTGACGCCATCCGGCCTGCAGGCGACGCCACGCAAGTCCCGGCTAAAGCGCTCCAAGTCACCGGATTTGCCAACAGGATCTGGAAGCTCTGGTGGCTCAAGTAGTTCACAGTCACAGCACCAGCAGCAACCGCAGCCGGCACACCACCATCCCCACCAGACCATTCTCATCCAGGGTCAGAATCCCACCTCAATTGTTAGCCTGCAGCAGACGGCCGACGGCAACTATATACCGGTGGGCGCAGGAACTGGCGACGAATCGGACACCGAGAACGATCACGAGCACGAACACGAGCATATCCACGGGCACGGACACGGACACGGACACCCACACGGACACGGCCACAGTCACAGTCACAGTCACGACCACGATCACGAGCTCGAGAATAAACCGAATAAGATCTGCAAGACGGAACAGTCGGTGGCATCGCCGGCATCCAATTCATCGAGCGCCAACTCAAACAATGCAGCGGGCGTGAGCGGCGGCGTGTCCACCACCGGCAACCAAGCCATCGTCACACAAATTGTAGTAGCGCGCGACGGAAAAGATACAAAAAATATGACTAGTTTAGGCATGGGCATGGTAAGTTGGTTTAGTTAGTTAGTTTTGGTTTAGTTAGCAGCTCTCAGCAGCTGCCAGCAGCCCCTCTCCTCCGGAGGATCAATCTGACAGATCTCGAGTAGATCTAATTTGCTAACCCGATATTTCCTATCTATCTCTCTCCTCACTATCGAATCTACCTCGATTGCATGCGCAGAACGGCGGCCTGTTGGGCGTGCCCATGGGATTCCTGGACTTTACACCCGAGCCACCAGCACCATCCGCCACCCCAGTCACCGTTACGGAGCACGTCGATCTGTCCTGCAACCCCAGCACGGACACGCGCGATCTATCAAGTGAGTTATCGGTAGTGTTGCCACCGAATCTAGCCGGGATCTCCGCTGCTGTAGGGTATATCTCTGACTAAAAATCTTTCATTGCCTCTCCTCAGATCCCACCGAACCGCTCGACATTGACAATCATTTGGCCCAGCAAATACATCGGCTCGATCAGTCCCCCATGCACTCGATATCCCATCACCATACCGGCGACGAGAGCAACTCGAATCTGGTGCAGCACATCAAGAGCGAGGTGATCGAGGCCAAGCACCTGGCAGCTGCTGCCCAGCAGCATGCTCTCAACCAGGCCCAGCAGCAGCAGCAGCATGCCCATCACCAAGCCCAGCAGCAGCACCAGCAACAGCACCAGCAACAGCAGCACCAGCAGCAGCAACAGCAGCAGCAACAACAGCAGCAACAGCAACAGCAGCATCTTCATGCCCAGCAGTTGCAGGCCCAGTTGCAGCAGCAACAGCAGCAGCAACACCACCAGCAACAGCAGGCGGCGGCAGCAGCGGCCGCAGCTGCTGCAGGTGTGCATGGCCAACATGGGGGACACGTGACGCACGCCGATATTGGTGGAGCCACAGTCATGGAGATCGATCCGAGCCAAATTAAACACGAGCCGGGCATGATAATAACGCCAGAGATTGTCAATATGATGTCCTCAGGACATATGGGTGAGTCTAACCTATCAATGATTTTGGGAAATCTGCCAAAAATAATATAAACATTAACTTTGCCTTTATATTTAAGGGAAATATACATGTAAAAGGTCAAAATTTTGACATTTTCGTGAATTATTTTTTGGAAGAAATAGTCAAGTAATCTTTATGAATCTTTGGGGATAGTTAAAAGTAGAATCGAAGATGATAAAAAAAACAATATTTTACAAAATGGTGGACCTATGGAAAATATGCCGCAGCGCCTCGAGCTTTGAGTTTCCCGGCTATGGACACGATTGAGCTTGAAATTTGTGTCAGAAATCCGCAAACCACATTTGATTGACCTCATTACAACTTTATCTTTTATTTGCACCTAAAAAACACAAAAGAAATATTGACAAAATTTTTTTGAAGTTTTGAAGAAGATATTACAATTTCAGGAAATTATATTTTACTTTCCACCCTCTTAAAAATACTACGCAATACTAAGTTTTATTACCTCCCATTTAGGTTCAAATAGAAGATCATTTCATGCTGATCATAATAATTTTTGATTCATTTCGATATGTTACTTGGTTTTTTGTGAATCGTGTCCATAGTATAGGTAGAAATGCCAAAATTAGAAGCTGACAAAAAGACAAAGTTTGGTATTCTTTCACTTTAACTTTTGTATACCTTGCGAGCATACCTTGATTTGGCGGACTTAGAGTTGGAATTCGATAATGAAACTTACATAGTATATTCTCGAAGTAATAAACTATTTAAAAAAAAAAAAAAAAAAAAAATGTGCCTAACATATTTTGGTTTACATGTATATTCCCCTTAAGACATATACGCTCTTTTAGATTTTCACTCCTAAAAATAAAAAATACATAAATATTTACAGCAAATTATTTCCGTTCTTAATTTACAGACATGTACAATTCGGACACGAGCGAGGATTCAATGATGATCGCCAACGGCTCGCCACACGATCAGAAGGAGCCGCACTATACGAATTTGGATCAGCAGCACGGTCTGGGCGGCGGCAGCGTTTGTGGCCCGGGGCCAGGTGGTGCTGGTGGTGGTGGGGGCATGAGTGGTGGGGCTGGCTCTGGCTCTGGCGAGAAAGGTCAGTTTAATGGTCCCAAAGCTTGGACACAAGATGATATGAATTCAGCTTTAGATGCATTAAAGAACCAAAACATGAGCCTGACGAAAGCGTCCGCCATTTATGGCATCCCATCGACCACCCTGTGGCAACGTGCTCATCGTTTGGGCATCGAAACGCCCAAGAAGGAGGGCGGCACCAAGTCGTGGAACGAGGATGCTCTGCAGAATGCCTTGGAGGCGTTACGTTCGGGTCAGATATCCGCGAACAAAGCGTCCAAGGCCTTTGGCATACCCTCGTCGACGCTCTACAAGATTGCCCGACGGGAAGGCATCCGCCTTGCGGCACCGTTCAATGCCGCCCCAACCACGTGGACGCCCGAGGATCTGGAGCGTGCCTTGGAGGCGATACGGGCGGGTAATACATCGGTGCAGAAGGCAAGCGCCGAGTTTGGCATACCAACAGGTGAGTTGTCCGCAAATCCAATCCAGGATTATCATCTATAGCCCTATCATGATGGCTTTCCTCTTACATTTCGACGTCGTTTTGTACATTGTGTCGTGGTTAAGGGGGTCTTCTCATTCAAACCCCGTTTTTTGGAGCCTTTTTACAAAAATTCTTATTTGAAAACGCAAAGAATAATTGAAAACTTTTTTCATTTATTGTATTAAAAAATGTTCAAAGTAAATAAAAAAATTGTTTTTGCTTCGATACGAGGGTTGTTCAAAGAGTAATGAGACTTCAAACTTGGTGGTAGAAAAAAAAGGTGTCGTCCTGGCGGCCACGATTCAGGGTCTCCAGAGCGTCCGAAATGAAAAATAAAAACGGGTTTATAATCAGAATAGATGTCATTTTCGGGTGACGGAACAGATTTTTTTTTTTTAATTTTTTTAAACAAAATGGCGGCCATTCAAAAAAAAAAAATTTCGATTTTGGGCTTTTTTTTTGTAGTTTAGTGTAAAAAAAAAATATAAAAAAAATTTAAAAAAAAATCTGTTCCGTCACCCGAGAATGGTGACAATTCTGCGTCGATTTCACTTTGTTTCATGAAAATCGGTATAGTTGAACTGGAGATATCATGGCCGCCAGTTCGAAAAACGTGGTTTCGAGATAAACGCGTTTAAAGTTTGAAAAAAGCCCATTTTGCGAAGACCTTGCTTCCCAAAAATGGCTGTATCTTCTAAAGTATTTCGAATTTCTAAAAATCCTTTTGGGGACATATACAGACCATCCCAAGCTAAAAATAAATGCAAAAAAAAATAAAAATCGAAAAAAAAGTTGCCCAATGAGAAGACCCCCTTAAACGTTTCATATTGGTTTTTGAAGTGCCTAGGGAGCTTTTTTGTGGGAAAGAAGAAGATATTCTTTTTAAAATATCGATCCTAAATATGATTCTTATGATCTAGTGAAAAAGTCTACCATGATATTACGACAGAAATATAGCGCTTAATACTACAAATTAAATAAAAGTTTTAAATATTACAAAAATCGAATTTAACGTCAAAATATCGAAATTATCGATATAAATCGAACAAATATTCGTGCATTTGTATTTCTTTTATATGTCGTTTTTCTGATTATATTTTAAACATCTTCAAAACGCTGCTATTAGTTTGATTTATCAGACATAAAATCGATTTATCGCACATATATTAAAATATCGATAAAATTTAAAATAAATAGAGAATCGATATATTGATATTTATGCTAAAATCGGCATTCAAAAGCGAGATTAAAGCATTTTATTAGCCAGAATGGTATTATCAGAAATATCCTTTCTATAATTTACATTTGCCCCGTTGGCCTCGCTTCTGTGCCGCCATGTGTCGTCTTGTCTATTTCGCATATTTGTAACTAATTCCATTATTTTTCCAAACCAAAACAACCTCCGTCAAAAAAAGGAACACTTTATGGACGCTGCAAAAGGGAGGGCATTGAGCTATCGCGTTCGAATCCAACACCCTGGTCCGAGGATGCCATGAACGAGGCCCTCAACTCTGTGCGGTAAGTCTTTCTGTGTGTGTGTGTGTAAAATACTTCCGTTCAATTAAGTCTCTAATCACCGCATCCTCCAACAGTGTCGGCCAAATGTCCATCAACCAGGCGGCCATTCACTACAACCTGCCCTACAGCTCGCTCTACGGCCGCTTCAAGCGTGGCAAATACGATGTGGTGGCCAATACGAGTGGCGTGGCGCTGCTCAACACCTCGGGCAATACCACCGGCAGCATTGAGATTATCGAGCACAGTCAGGAGAACTCGGTACGTACACAAACCCTACCCTATTGCGGCAGCTCAAAACCAACAAAACCCGGCTTGCAAATAACAGTTTATTTTGTTTTTCGTTGTTTTTTTTTTGAGTAGAGATGAACCGTTTTTTAAATGCTGGTGTTAAAAAAAAAACTAGCTCAACTAAGAAAAGTCTAAGGTACAGGAAAAACGAAGAGGAACGAAATGTTATTTGCAAGTTTTGGCTTTCAATAAAAATTATTAAAAAAAAAAATTGCACACGAAATGAAATTCGTAAATATAGGAATTAATGTAGTATTATAATTTACTTTAATTTCGTTATCCAAGTTTAATTAATTAATCTCACTTAAAATTTTCAACTAAATAACTCGCAATGATAATACAAAATGAATATAAAAGCAGGGAAAAAATGGATTGATTCTTAGTCGGTTTTTTTTTATATTTGAAAAGAAATCGATTAATCGATGAATTCAAAATTTGATTTTTAGCAAAACTGCAAGCTTTATAACCTAATGTTTTTTGTTATTATTCGTCAAATATTTAACCTTGGAAATTGTTAACGATAAATTGATTAAAACTTAATTAATATCGGTAGCATGATTAACCGAGTTGCTTTACCATCCAAGACTTTTATAATTTTAGTATTTTTATAATTTTAGTCAGAAGTTTGCAACGCAGTGAAGCAGACATTTCCAACCCATAAAGTGTATATGAATATTCTTGACCAGCATTAACAGCCGAGTCGATCTAGCCATGCCCGTCCTTAATTTATGAGCTATCTGAATGAAATGTTTGCAGATAGTCTTCTGACTGTTTGGACGACTATATCATATAGGTTCCATATAAATTATGAAAAAAATTTCAGAACAAAAATTATAACTTTGCTGTTTTTCAACATATTTTAATCTTCTTTGAGATATGGTAATTTTTTATTATTTCAGAATTTCAGTTTTAATTTTATGAGAATCGGGCGACTTTATCATATAGTTAGGTATTTAGTTTTTTTTATTTGACCAAAATGAATTGATTTTTAATGATAAAATTGCAAACTGCCAGGGTATACATACAAACTTTGGCGAGCCAAAGTTAGCTTCCTTTCTTGTTAATTTTAAACCCCACCCACAACTCATACCAATTGCCAAGCTTTGACTAACCGATATAATCAATCTATATTTATGCAAAGTTGCACATGTTGCAGCAACAGTTCCCGTATAGTCCGTCGCCGCATCCGCCAACGCCGCAGCATCACAGCACGCCGCAGCATCATAGCTCGGCGCAGGGGCCGCCCACGCCGCAGCACATGCAGCAGCAACAGCACGTGGTGCATATGCAACAGCAGTCGCCCCATCCGGGTCACCATCCGCAGCACATGCAGCAGGATGTGGTTACATCGAGCAGCCAGGTGGTGCACAGCCAACAGCAGCAGCAGCAGCTTCAGCAGATCTATCAGCACCACGGGACACCTGAGCGTAGTTGAGAATCACTGCATGCTGCGGCTTTAATGGGCAGCACCGGTGGAGGAGGGGGCGGAGGAGCAGGAGGAGCCAGCACTAGTGGCAGCGCGGCGGCCAGCAGCTCGCCTTTTGCCAGCATATCGGCGCTGGTCAGTGGACAGAGCAGTAGTGTCCCACCGCCACCACCACCGTCGGCGTCCGTTGCGGCGGCAACAGCAACTGGCACCAGCAAGCGCAAGAAAGCCACCAAGCAAAAGCGTTGAGAGCAGGATCAACTGCAGCCGGAGGAGGAGGAGGAGCAGGAAGAGCCAGAAACCATTGCCGGAGTGGCCAGGCCCGAGGACATCAAGTTTAGATTTAATTGCAGGCACTGGAAGCGCAAGCTAAGGCAGTTTCATTTGTTATTGTCCAAAAACCAGAGGCAGCAGCAGTAGAGTAGTCAGTCAGTTGGAAAGATGACCCACAAACACAAGAGACACACACACCTCCCGAGGATCTAACCAATCACAAAAAGAAACACCTTTGAACTGCATATATGAACATTAATTACACAATCGAGATGTGTATAAAATGTATATATTTAATGAGAATATGCTTTATCTAAATTAATACGGAACATAGTAAAATAGTAGTAGTAGTAGTAAAATAGGTATTAGGTTCGCAAAGTCCTTTTGTTCTAGCCAGTAAGACGAAAAGGAGAGGAGAGCAGAGAAAGGTATAGATATATAGAGCGTAAGAGGAAAATGAATTTTTGCTTTTTGCCTAAACTCGAAAAAAGAAATATGAATATTCGTGTTGGGCTATGCAGTTTTAAGAGCACTTTGTTATCAATGGACATGTATACATATATATGGACACGTCTATATATCTGGGACTCTCGTGATTATTTAATAACCCTTTGAGCTACGTTTTGTTATAATTTACTTCTTAGTGTGAGACTGAAAGTGCGCCTAAAACTGTCTACAAAAATCAAGCCCAAAACCATACAACACACAACCCATGAACCCAACATGAAGAATCAAATGCTTTATATCCATTACATTACTTGAAACGGAAGAAAGGAGTAAAAGGATAATATACCTTAAAGTAGAATTAGTCCAACCAAATTATCAAGGTTCTAGCTTAAACTCATTAGCTCTAAACCGCAAAGAAAGTTATTTGAATTTAAAACCAGAAGGGCGCTCTGAAGCCAAGCAAACATACTTGATTTTATTTGATTTTAACACTGAATTCATGATATAAATAATTATAGAACTTGAAGGAAACATGAAATAAAGAAATTGTATCTTTTATAGAAATCAGGAACAAACACTAGCAGAAGCTAGAAACTTCAAATGTTAATATTAAGCTCCAAAATGTCTTTTTCAAAATTACATAAAGCAAGTGTAAGAGAAATCAATAAAAGCAACCGTATATAGATGGATACACACAAGAAATTCTGTATGAAGTAAAAGTAATACGAAAAACCCTTTTTTCTTTATATAGAAACCACTTAAAACAATTGCATATAAATCAAAGATCGTCAATGGAAGAGGAGAAATTACATTCAAAATTTTTAGAGACTAGAAGGAAATAATGTATAATAGCTTCCACTAGAGCGTATTCTACACGTATTTAGAAATCCAAAAGAAAACACAAAAAAGGAAAAAAAAAAAAACAACGGAAAACACACACATAAACCCATCTGAAGTTACTTCAACTATTTTTGGTTTCATCTCAACTACAGAAGTGTCCAGAGAAAGAAAGATTTTAGAAATTTGTAAATACATTTAAATTAGACTAGTTTCCTTAGGTTCTTTTAGTTGAGCTAAGCGATGAAGGGAATAGGTATACCTATATATATATCTGAAATTTACGAGAATCGAAATGTTGCAAATTAATTTATTTTAGCGTTATAGACCCGTAGAACTGAATGCAATATGCTTACCTTAAACTCAACATTTAATTTAATTCTATTCCTATTATCTTTAGTTGGATTTACTATAACGTTTTTATATAGCTAAACCTGTATATCATTGTAAATTAATTAAAGCATACGAAGTAGCATCTACAAGAGTTATATTAAACCAACAATATAAAAACAAGAGCAAACAGCAAATATCATTATAACCTTGTTAAAATTGTCGCAAGAGCAATTAAAAAAAACCAGCTAAGAAACTTGAAGGAGAAGAAATGAAGGCAAATCACAGAAGATTTAAATAATAATAATAACGAAAAACGATAAATTTAAAATTTTAAGCTAAACTAAATGTGTAAGAGTAAACTTTAACCACACAATATTATAGCACATTTTGGATTATCAAATATGCATACACAAGAAATATCTACTATAAACCGTACATGTAAAGGTAAACCCAAAAGAAAAAAAGGAGAAAAAAAAAAAACGGAAAGAAACAATCTATGTAACAGCCGAAATTAGCGAAAACAACCCATGTAATAAATAAACGACATTTAATGTAATATTGGTATAACGTAATTTTTAAAGTGAGGTACTATAAATAAAAATTATTAAATAATATAAACACTATAGTTTGTTTTCTTTTAAATACTGTTTAATGAACTTCTTTTTTGATTTGATGTGATTTTAGCCATGTCCGTCTGTTAGACAAGTGTTCGTATTAACACATCTTAGAGATTGTTGCAATTCTTTTCTGTAGAGTTTAGACAATAATTTATTCAAGTTGAGAATACACGCCTATGGGATATCCAAATTACTACAACCTTTCGAACTGGAATATATTGATATTTAAATTTTAATGAAAAAAAAAAAGAAATTACAGATACCCTCTAGAGCATCAGACAGAATCATCGACTCCTGCTAATCTTTATCCGTTCCATACCCCCCAGCTTAAAGCAAAACATCAAAAAATACAATCCAGAAAAAGTTCTTAAAGCCACAAACACGACCTTTTCCCTATACAACAAAAACACTACTATAACCTATAACCTACCACACACTGTTCCACTCTATTAAAAACTCTTAACATAATCATAAATTCATTTACACAGACGGCTCTAAAGCCAATGACTCTGTGGGCTACAGTGTAATCAATAATACTGAGATAGTCAAACCTGGACTCCTTTCTCTAGTGAATTGATAGCAATTTATGAAGCTGTCAAAATATGCTCAGGATCACCTGGCAAATATGCTATTTGCTTCGACACCCTATCCTTCATTAAATCTATTACAAACCAAAACAACTACTCCTACTACCCCAATACAATAAGATCCCTTTTCACCAAACTCTCCCAAAATCAGACGAATTTCGATCCCAAGCTTCATCGGTATGAAAAGCAATGAAAGAGCGGACACAGCAGCAAAAGAAACACACAAGTCTCCTTTAATATTCACAGACAACACCTTAAGAAACATTATACTGATAAACTGAATAGTCTTCAAAGACAAACTGGAAAATGGTACAAACAGTTATCACTAAACACCCTTACAAACTTTTTTTTTTAAACCACAAACCTCAACAGACAACAACAAATAATAATAGGCTACCCCTAGGACACACAAGCCACAAACGCCCATTAAATGAATAGTTCCTTTATAAGCATCTGTCCCCCCATCTCGGCGATAGACATCCAGCACATTCTAATAAACTGCATTGCACTTTCCCAAATTAGAACCTTATGGTTTTCCCACAAAAACCCAATCTATCTCCTAGCGAATCCAACAGCAGCAAAATCATCTTCCTACACAAAACCAATCTCATACACAAAATTTAATTTATAACTTTAACATGTAACATAAATACCTGAACAACAGTCGAGTTGTAAGCCACAGCAGCCAATGCTTATAAATATAAGTTAACGTTTAATTTTCACTATGAGTTAGCGTTATATAAATAAATAAATTTTAAACAACTTAACGGGATGATCGTCGGCGATGAGAATCGTCAGAAAAGTTTCGTTAAACTAGGTCGCCTACTGAAATCGATTCTGAATGAATATATAATTGTTTGCATTGCTTTATTATTAATACAAAAAAAATTACAAAAGAAAAAAAACCCTCAATGCAAAATTGTGCTGATAATTTTTTTTCACGAATTCATTCTGAAAAAGTTTATTCGGTTTAAGTCTTTCATCTCAATTTTCAAGTTAAAATTTTCGTTCCGATTTCGTTTGCAGATTCTCTGCTTACAGTGTATCCAAACGTAAAAGCTTTGCCGCTGTTAACCCTGATCTTGGCTTTGGGGGATTGTTTTTGGCCAGTAATGTTAGGGAGAGCTTTTCTGATAGACACTCTCTGCTTGGGGTTATTATTATTATGATTCGCTCGCTCCGCTCAGCTGGCGCATGCTCTGCTCTTCTCTCCCACATGTTGGATTTATTTGACTTTGCTCACCTAGAAGCGGAGGAAAGATGCCAAAGTAGTCAAAGTTCTGCTGTCCATGTGAACGAACGGTGCTTCGTCAGGTAACTCTTCCGCGATTCGAACCCTCTGCACCGCTTCCTTTCGCGACGCAAAAGATTTTTTAGCAAAAAAAAAAAAATTTAACAAAAAAAATAAAAAAGAGGAGCGAACGGAATCAGCAGGCGCAGCATTTTTGTCTGGACACAAGAAAGGAAAAGGAGACGACAAAGGAAGTTGCTTCATTTCGGAGGAAACAAAAGAACGCTCGAAGGAATTCCGTAAGTGTTGATGGGGGAAATCCTCCTCGTTATCAGTGCTAATTGATTAATCAGCGCATTAAATGTGTGTTTATTTTATTTAATCAACGTAAAAGGGAATTGATTGGGGGAAAGTGAGTGTGAAGTGGGTTTTAATTGAAAGATTAAATAAAATATATAGGAGATAGGCGGAAGTGGCAATTGAAAAATTCGCATGATTGCGAATCTTCTAACCCAGAACTGTGTGTGGGTGAGCTGAATTATTAATGCTAACCCCTTTGTGGGAAAAAGTGGGGGATGCTAAATCGAAGTCGAAATCGGGGCCAAAAGCACGGCCCAAGCAAGCCCAAGCTAACTGCATAAACAGTTTATTTTTATATGCCAGAGGACAGCTGCAAGTTCAAGTGTACAAAACTCGTAACCCTCGAGAAATTACATTACGCATGATACACACACACATACACTCCAGCACTCCCTCACAGGGATAGCCAGTGGGTATGTGCGTATGCTTGTGCGAAAGCTAACGCTCGTCGCTCAACACGTTTTAAAATATTAACTTAAAGCAGACAAGAGAAAAAACAAAAGGAAAAATAGCAACAAAAAGTACCTGACAATAATAACAGCTACCAAACAACGTGCTTATTAAGAGAGAAGTAAACCAAGAGAGGGAGGGAGAGCAGCCCCAACGAAAGCTTTCTCTCGCTCTCTGTTGGGGTCTACTTCTCTCTAACACACTCTCTCTCTCTCTATCCCGCACAGCTGATTGCCAGAACTGTAACGTTATTTGGTGGTTTTAGCATTTGCAACCCCCCCCCACACCCCTTGTTCGTTCTTACAACAAGTGCTGCGAATAAGTGTTTCGTGTTTGCTGATGTTTGCCGTGTCTGCCGATGTCTTTGGGCCATTTGAACTTGGCACCACACACAACTGGGTCTAGGCTAACGGGTGTGAGCACTTTAGACATCTTCTATAGGCCGTTTGACCTTGAGGATTCCGGAAGAAATATGCTGATTTTTAAAAATAAAACAAGCAAAGCCCCATGTTGATAAATTACAAGCGTAAAAACTTATCTTAACAAACTTAATAATTATAAGAAACTAAATAAAAACAGTTGTCATATAAGTTTTATCAAAATTGTAAAATACTTTTTGTATGATTTTTTTAACCTTGAAGATTTTGAAAATAATTAAAAGTCTTGATGCCTCAAAAACAAATAAACGGAAGTACCTACTTAAATGGGTTTCTATAAAGTTATAATTTTTTCAGAAATATTATTTTGTATCGTTTGCTGACCTCGTATATTTCGAAATTTTTGTATATATACAAAAATATACATGTGTTTGTGCTAGTGTCAAAAAAATAAACAAGCCAAATGACACATATTGAAAGTTTATGTATTTATAGCTTGTTTTTGTTTGTTTAAAGTCTGGAAAATATACAATTTATAAGTATTGTTATTATTTTTATTATTAAATTGATGATTTTAATTAAAAATATATTAATTCTTTTGCTATTATTTGGTCAAATTAAATAAATTAAATAAAAGTTATTAATATAAAGATAAGTGAACTACAAATGGCTTTAATAATATTTGTAGAAAGTTTTTATGTGTCTTACATTTTACTTCTGTAAAGAGACCTCAACGACACTTGAAACATCAATGTCAGTAGTTTTGATTAATTACTCAACAATTAAAAAGACACTCTTGGCTTCATTTTTGCCCAATTATTATTGTGAAACTTTGAAGACAAGCCACCATATATTTACCTTTATAATTCAAAAGTAAATGTGCTAAATACTGAAGGCCTGCCTTTTCACGCGAATTCAATCTGTGAAAATAACCAACAAGTGGGATTGAATCTTTGACTTTGAAATTTCAGACAAGCTAAAGTGGAAGCCCCAGCAGCTGCCACTATAATAATATTGAAAGGTTGTGAAGTCGAGTGAAGCTGCTGCGTGTGTGGGTGCTATATATTTTGTGTGTTCAAGAAGCAAACTGAAAAGTAGGAGAGGAGGTTTTTAAATAGACCATCGCTACTGGCTTTAGCTTTTTGCGTCCCGAAAATGTAATTACTATCGTTCAGCCTTGGAACCTTTTAGATGTTTTTTATGGGACCACAAATACCCTTAGATTTGTTTGTTTATAACGGCAAAGAGCTTTGTTTAAATTTAAATTAATTTTATAAAATTAAAAACAATTTAGGATGTTAAAAAATTTGGGGTAATCCAAACTTTAGTTGGGCAGAGTTTCAATTTTGAGAGTTTTTCCATTAAATATATTTGAACCACCACCAAAGAGTCACCGAAATTTCCAGTTAAATGAAGTTAGCCAGTATCTTAGCAACCTGCTTCCCTGTCTATATTATTCATTGCGTTTTTCCTCACTTACCACTGCCTTACTACTCTATCCTAATGCCTTTTTGCAGTTGCATCCCATCGGCACAAACAACAGTGTTGCTGGGGCAACACATCCATTCAACACCGCAAGGGAGCCAATCGAAGGGGACGAAGGACGCACAGCAGGCGAAGTGCGTGTGTGTGGGAGGACTCACCGAACCTTACACGCAAGTGAGTAAATAACGGTAACTGCCAGCCATTAGATGAAATTATCAATTATGCAATTAAAACGGGGGAAGTCCCGGCTGAGAGTTGTGAAAACTTTGGCCAGTCCGAGAGCTCGCCGCTGCACCTGCACTATTGATCAAAGTGAAATGTCAAGGCTAAGGACTAAAGGATTAAAATAGTTTGGAGAGCTAACAGGACGGTGCAGGGGCCTTTCTTCTTTTTCTTGAAATGATGACGATGATGTGGAAATGTCTTTAATAATTTATTCCTGATTTGTGTTAGAGTTTCCGTTTTTCTCATTACACTTTTCATTTCCGTTTCCCTGCCGCTGCCCCAGTCGAAATGAAAATGTTTGTTCCATGGCAATCAGCGTGCCCTGTTAGCCTGGCGTATACGTAATATGCTAATGAACTTCTGTTGCCGCCTGCACATGATGGCGATAAACAAGGTACACTGAAAAAAAGGGTATTAAATCTAATTAAATACAAGCTTTATTGGTGACTTAGATGTTGGTAAGCAGCACAACTTCAAAGGGTTTTATTTTTGCTCAGTGTATTGGGCACAACCCTTGGCCCAACTGTTGCAAAAGTTACTTTCTGTTGAGCAAGGATATGGGATTGTGTATTGGAGTCTCTCAACCTACTGCGGTTGTCCTTAGGTTGTCGAAAAACAAGCCAGGCAAAAAGTTCCTCCTGCTGCTGTTGCTCACTTCACAAGCGACGAGGCTCGACCTCCCTTTTGCCAAGCCTTCAGCCAATTGACCCTTAACCCTTGCTTAGAGTGACTGTCTCCCACTGGCCCTGCCTGCCAGGTGAGGCAGGTGGCTCACCCCTCAGCCTGTCTCCTTACCTTGCCGGAGAGTCAAGGACGCACACTCATGCGAATTGCATGCCTGATTTCACCAATTGATTGCATGCAATTGTGTTGCCTTCAACTTTCACTTGTCGGCTCATCCCGACCCGCCAAATCCTTGGCGAAGCGAAGCGGGTGAGGATATTAAGCACCTGAAAATGGTTAAACATTATTCAGAGCCATCCGAGCAGCAGGTTTTAAGCGAGCGAGCCCCCTTGAAATATTATTCAAATTTCAGAACCCACTTCAACTGTTGCACATTCCGTAAATCAGAGAGCTGTCATATCCGTAAGCACATTTAATGCTGACCTGTTGGGTTATTTATCCCTGTTTTGAAGTGTATATACTCTGGTTGAAATGGGGATGAACCTTAACTCAAAGAAACAAAGATACACCATGAAGATCTGAACTCAAAAGACAAACTAACAGCTCTTAAAAGGGTCTCAGCTTCAGCAGAAACGAAATAAATCAACAATTTATAAATAATAAACAAAATGTTTAAAGGGTATATGCAGCTTCGCTTTTGCAAAGTTGGCGCAAATATTCATGGTTCTTTCTTTTTTGTTTGTTCTGCGCAAATACCGAAATCAGATTTTGCGGTTGCCACTTTTGTGTGCTCCTGAATGTTTCTGCGGTGATGTGTGTAAATGTATTCATATGCTCGATGAGCATATTTAATGCAGTTTGAATGGCTTTTCCAGCGAAAACTGCACTTATCTGAAATACTAAATTAATTATGCTCGGGTAAGCGGATTCAATTAATGATACATTTCAGCATTTAATTTGTCAACAAGGCGTTGACATTGAAATATGCCTCGCATAGGAGCAGTAGGACCTAATAAAATGTATTCATTTTTTAGTTCGGCGAGAGTCAATTATGGCAATAAGTAAACAAACCAACAATATATGGGGTCGGTGGTAGACTGATTGGCTTTAATTGTTTGGCAAACCAACCGTAACCAGTTAAAGCCAAATAACTTAGCAACGAGAATTCCGAATCAGTTTCTGCCACGTATTGAGGTCATCTGCCAGCTTGTTTCCTGTTTCCGGCCATTTCCTGCCCCGAGTGCAATTCATTTCCTGGGTCCTATGACAGGATCCGCAGCTTAGCATCAGCTGCCAGCTCAATGTATAACCTGAAGATGTTGTGAAAAGCATTTGCAAACACATCTGACCTTGTCTCCGCTCGGCCAACGCTGCGTATGAGCGATGTCTAGATGAGATGACTGCCGATTTGCTTGTCGCTTTCATTATCAATGTCAATGTTCTCTAGGAATTTACATAGAGTGTGCTGGTCATGAGATTCATTAGCTCTCGATTTCTCACTATCTCTGATTGTTTTTTTTTTGTCTCACCCTGAAATAATGGGGCACTTTGTAGACAGAATAAAAGAAAATAACACTGTGCTGCATAAGTCAGGGAAGTGTATTTAACAGGTAACATTATTAGCAAATTAATGTTGCAAAGTCGGGTTTGGAACCCATGATTTAAGACGCTACCAACCATCTAAGGCGTAAAATAGATAGAGGGTTGCAACTTTTCAAATAACTCACATAACATATTTATTAATACATTTTTAGGTTAACAACCAAAGAAGTCTACTACCGTTGTGCAATGCTATTGCTTTGTTATGCCCATATTTTTTGCATTTAGTTTAACACATTTTGCATTGCAGTGTAGTAATTGATGAAAGGAATGTGTGACGAATCGCATCTGTAGGTCATTGGGTAGCTGTAGCATTCCCACTTTGTTGTGATGGGCAAATAATGCAAAATGGATTTCCTTTTTGTTTTTATTTACTTTCGTTTTGATGTGTTCATTTCTCGCCCACCTCTCAGTGTGCACTTTTATTCGCTCTCTCTTTCAGTCTTATCATTGTTTGTATTTCACTTATGTATATATTTTTGTATTTTTGCATCGAATGCAATAGCCACTCATTTCGTTTAGGCAATCATTTGCTGTTCGAGTGGCTCGGGTCTCGGTGTTGTTCTTATTTTTAACGCGAAATTACGAAATTTTGTGATTATTAATTGATTGAAAATGCGCCTAAGCCGTATTCGCTGTTTCCCAGGCGTTTTGTGAGTTCTCCAAAAGTGATTTTTGCTATTCGCGATCTGAAATCTCAGCCTAAAGAACTCTTTATTCTAGAGAATAAAAGTAGGAGCTGAAAAAGCAAAACTAGTGTAAATTATCTGTTATTGTTACATTGTGTTACAAGACAATGTTGCTATCCCTAAAATCAGAGACTATTTGGATTTTCAATTATGTAAAAGCTCAGTGCTTAGTTTATTAAAAAATACTTTATTTAGTTTACGTTTTTATTTCGCTCTTCAATGCATTTATAGTAATCAATTTTGTTTATCTTATTTAGTGAAATTTTTGTAAATAGTATGCCCTGAAAATGTAGGTGTTTATTTGCATCATAGTAATTTTTGAAAGCTGAGCTAATCAGATCCTGAGAGCAGGTGTCCTCTAGCTTATCACAAGTCGTATCTATCACCAATCTCTTGTGTGCCATTTCCATTTCAATTTCAAAACCCACCAAGCAGCGTCTGTAGGATGAGCAATGCGGGAATCGACGGAGGAGGCGGCGGATCTGGAGGAGCAGGAGTGCCGCCAACAACGCCACCGCCTACTGGCCATGGATCCACGCGTCGCCTGAGCCACTTGACAGGCAGCAGCCGCTCGGGAGGAGCCGCCGCCATGGGCAACGTGGTGGGCTGGCTGAAGCAGGTTCTGTCCATACCCAAATCTGATCCGTATTGATGTGAACCACCACCACCCAGCACAACACACAGTGTATTACGTTACACTACCAAAAAAAAAAAACGAAAAGATAAAAAAAGACACTTGCACCCCTTTGCTTTTGTGTTGCATCCTCCCCCCGCCTGACTCTTCAGTTGCCCCTGATGTCCTTCGATGTGGATTTTTAGATATTCAACGAGCGGAGTCTCTGAGCTCATACGCATTCTTCTTGGTTTTTTCCAGGCCTCCATCGAGGTGCGAGACGCCGGCACACGAACTCTGTCGATGCTGCAGAGCAGCAATCCCAACTTCCGATCCCTGGACCTATCTCTGGGCACGCCCACATCCGTCACACCGACCTCGAGTGAAGCTCCAGCTGCTCCAGCCAGTGCCACCGCCTCGCTGAGTGGTTCCACCCTGCACTTTGGACCAGAGGAGCCAGAGGAGACCGCCGGAGGAAGCCAGTCGCTGACGCCGCTGGATGCCAGGGAACTGCTCACGCGACCCACGCGAGCCTACGCCTCCGTCAGCCAGCCCCAGAGCCCTAGGCATCGAGGATCGTGCTCGGGATCCGTCACAGGTTCAAGGATATCCACACACGGCCTGACCGGGCGCTCCACATCGATTTCCTCGCAGCTGGAGAAGACCAAGAAGCTGCTAAAGATGACCGAGGGCGAGGACAAGCCGCTGACGATTCTGCACTACAACGATGTCTACAACATTGAGTCCATGGCGGAGACGGAACCGGTGGGCGGGGCGGCCAGATTTGCCACGGCCATAAAAAGCTTTGCCCACCTAAATCCCTTGGTGCTCTTCAGCGGCGATGCCTTCTCGCCCAGCATGTGTGAGTAGTCCTGGAAGATGGAATAAAAGTAAATAATAATCAAACTTTTAATCCAGTGAGCACCTTTACTCAGGGAGAACAGATGATTCCCGTGCTTAACACGGTGGGAACGCACTGTGCCGTGTTTGGCAACCATGACTTTGGTAGGTCATCAGCAGAACCCAGTTCTCCAAGCTAAGACTAATCCAAATCCCATCCCGCTTCAGATCACGGCCTGGATGTGCTGGTTAAGTTGATCAAGCAAACAGACTTCCCCTGGCTCATGTCTAATGTGGTGGACAATGAAACTGGTCGTCCTCTGGGCGGTGGCAAGATCTCGCATTTTATTCTCCACAATCAGATCTCCATCGGCCTGATCGGCCTGGTGGAACGCGAATGGCTGGAGACGCTGCCAACCATCGATCCCAACGAGGTGACCTACATCGACTATGTGGAGGCGGGCAACAAGCTAGCCCGCGAGCTGAGGAACGAGGGTTGTGACCTCATTATCGCCCTCACCCACATGCGGACGCCCAACGACATTAATCTGGCCGAGAAATGCAACGGCATCGACATTATCCTGGGTGGCCACGATCATGTGCGCGAGGTGACCGAAATCAATGGCAAGATGATTGTCAAGTCCGGCACGGACTTTCAGCAGTTCTCGGTGATCACCATTGAGCGCGATCCGGCCAACCGAGAGCACTTCACCACGGACGTCAAGTGCTTTGATGTGACGGCCAAGGTGCCCGAGGATCCGGAACTCAAGCAGGAGCTCTCCAAATATGCCAGTAAGTAGCGCTGTTCTGGTCAAGGATTTGTGAATATTACTATGTTCTTCCTTGCAGAGTTCATCGAGAGCAAGCTGTCGGATGTGATGGGCGTCTTCAGCGTGGAGCTAGACGGTCGCTTTTCGCGGGTGCGAACCCAGGAGACGAATCTGGGCAATTGGGTGTGTGACGTGGTACTGGCGGCCGTTGGCGCCGACGTGGTTATCTTAAATGGCGGCACCTTCCGATCGGATCGGGTGCATCCCGTCGGGGCCTTTACCATGGGCGATCTGGTTAATGTAATTCCGATGCGGGATCCTCTGATCCTTCTGGAGGTGAGCGGTCGTGTGCTGTGGCAGGCGCTGGAGAACGGCGTGTGCGCCTATCCCAAGCTGGAGGGTCGCTTCCCCCAGGTGGCGGGCATCAATTTCGCCTTCGATCCACAGGCGGAGCCGGGCAAACGCATCGACCCACAGCTCATACAGGTGGGCGATGAGTACCTCAACCTGGAGCAGACCTACAAGCTGTGCGTCAAGAGCTATATCTTCATGGGCTGCGATGGCTATACCATGTTCAAGGATGCCACAGTGCTGGTGAGTCTTTACAGCTTTTTAATATCTCCAAAAAACCTGGTTCTAAGGAATACCTTACCTACCAGATGGATGACGACGCCTGTCCCGAGCTGGGCATCACACTGCAGAACCATTTTAAGGCCATCAACTCGCGGAAATGTGGCCAGAACACTAAGCACCGACAGTCGCTGGTCACTCTGTCCAGACGGCATAGTCTGGTGCAATGCCTGGACAGCATGGATCTGGACGGACCATCGCCCATACGCAAGTTATCCGTGGGTCATCACAACAAGTCCATGGATCTGACGCACGGCAACTCCCAGAAGGTAAGCAGAAAACTTTATAAATAAATTTATTGTTAAATGAAATTCTCACGCAGATGCTGCGGCGTGCCTCCTTGGATGATCTGGAGCAATCCACCTGCGATTTGGCGCCGCAACTGGAGCACCGCATCGTAATGATACAAAACGAAGAGGTGGGCGACCTTCAGTGCTTGAAATAATCTTTTAATAATTGAAATATGACCCCCGCAGCATCATCGACAGCTTCTGTTCAAAAAGGAGACGCACATTATGAACTCCACGATCACCGAGGCCGAGGACGAGTAAAGATATTAATTCCACAATTGTCTAATTCACAAATTTTGCATTTAATTTTTGTATCTTTTTATTTTCTCTTTTTTTTATTCGTTTTATTCTAGTTACAAGAAAGTAAGACAACTTGATTTTAGGGCGGGGACAGGGCCAGATTCCGATGTGGAAAGAAATATTTGAATTTAAGAAAGAGGATTAAGTACAGCAAAGAGAAGATATACCCGTTAGCTAGTTAGTTAGTTGCTCTATTTATTGCCGTTTGTTGTTAACAACCACCGCCAGCGCTCTTCTGTTTTGGCCAAGTTTCGTGGTAAACCTTGGCAAGACTTCCCCCCGGCAGGGAACTTGGTATTGATGTATTGTATATGATGTATGATGTAGTGAGTGTACCCAAAAGCTTGCTAGTTTAATTTACCTTTAGATAAACTTATTTATTATTACATACGGTAATCAATTACTAAAAAGCCCTTATGTTTTGTGATCTAGATAAAACGAGAGTTTGAGCTGAGCTTTGACATGATATTCCTTAGAGATATTCCAAAAAGAAAACCCCTGGTAGTTGTTTTTCCACAGAACGCAATCAAAAGACACTACAGGTTGTAAGCAGAACGCATTGGACACTACACTGAAACCAATGAGCATGTAGAGTGAATATGTAAAGCAATATTTTAGACAATGCACTCGAAAATGTTGAATGTATATTTTTATGGACACTTTTGGGGGCAGCAGCAGCAGAGCATATTATTTTTTAGAAAACGTGCGCCACACTCAAGGATAGTTGCTTTATTTTCTGGCATGCGTACGGAGTTCCTTCCACCGCTGTGACTGTGAGATGTCCATTGAAGCAATCTGATTGCACGACCGACGACCAACAGGAAATCAGAACACAAAGGCAGCCACAATTACCACACAAAGTTAAACAATAAGTAGAGGAAGCCACATACATATAGAACGTGTGTATATGACTTAGTCCATGCTTCACTGATTGTCCATGCTTAGAACGTATAGTTAACTAAAGTGAACAATATGCAGGCTCAAAATGCACCTGATTATTAATTACTGATTATAAAGGACACAAATATATAATATATACATAGAGATATCGTACATCTTTCCGAATTCCGCCACCCTTCGAGCACGGCCAATACATAGAGTAAGATGCGTAACGCCATGCCCTGGGTTATTCCGGTTTCTCTGGCTTTTCAACAAAAGTTAAAGAGAGCGTTCAACAAATCCAATGGCGTTACGCATCTTATTCTTTACGTGGTCTTTGCTGCGAGACACTTTCAAACTATTTTGCAATGAAACGCATTGTGTGTATGTATATTGAACGAAGTACATTGATTTATGTAAACATTTATTAAATACATAAAACTATATGTAAAGGGGATTTCTTTTTAATTTATTTGGCGGAAGCACGTTTGTTAGTCAGCACTAAATTGGGGCACTTAATTGGTCTTGTTAATACTTCATTAAGGGTGAGTTAGAGATGTCTATAGGGGAAAAAGTCTGATATGATAACGCAGTGCATATTATGTTTAATATATCGCACTTTGATATATCGAATCCTTGAATATCGAACAATATCGATAAAATATTTGCTTCTTTTTCCGATTAAATTGTTTTGCATTATCGAACACATGGATATCGCGACGTTATAATATCGATATGTATATATATATATCGACTTTAGCGTCAAATATCGATATAGAATCGATATATTGATATTTTCCTCCATCCTAGGGTGACTTAAGTTAAACTTCTATGTTGTTCGCTAGCAGCCGTCAATAAAACTGCAACACCAAGGTCTTTATGGCACTGGCAATGTGGAAGGCGCAGTCGCGCACCTCCAAGGTGTTCTTCTGTATGGCTTGCTTGTCGTCCGTCTCGATGGCCTTCTGCAGGTTCTCGCACTCGTGCTGGATAAGGATTTTGTGGCGGGTCAGCTGCTTCAGGGTCTCGCGCGTAGTGTCGCTGGCATTCGGTGGCTAAAAAATATAGTAAGATATTGTAAAGCCTTGATATTGGATAAGTATGTAGACAAACTCACCAAATTGGCATACAAAGCTATCAAGTCTGTGACCGCGCTGTGAATAAGCTCGCCGTGAGGCGCTATCGATTGCTTCTGATCTTCCGACACCGGCTGCATGGCCCTTATGAGCTCCTTAAGGCAGCGCGTGACCAGATCGGAGCGCACCTTCACCTCCTCGCCGAAAGGCTTGCCATCGCCAGCCATCTGATACATGCTGGTCGTGTTCCGTACATCCGTGGCCCCCTTGGCCACATTCGGGACCAGACGGCGCTCGTACATGCTGGCCGGCCGCTTGATGGTCGATTGGTTCGAGGAGCCGTTGGAGGAGCCGCTGTCTGCGTTGCCAGCCGCACCCGAACCCCCCTCTGGCAGCGACAGTGGCTCGTGCTCCGTGTCCGGACTGCTCAGGCTCAAATCAATGCGACTGAATACGGAAAATTAAAAGGGAAATCATAATCATAAAACAGAAGCGAAAAGCGGTAAATTAAAACGCTCACAGTGGCTCATCGTAGACGCTGTTGTTGGAGGCGCTCGAGAACTTGGACTTGAGCTGCGAGTTCTCGCTGGACAGCATCTGGACCACGTTCTTCAGCTGATTAATCTCGGACTTGTACTCGCTGAGCTGCTTGCGCAGCGTGTCCATTTCGTGCTGCGAAGTGGCATTGCGGGGCGGCGTGTGGACAATGGCCTAAACACAAAGGAAATTTAAAGATAAACTTGTAAAAAATCATAAACTAAAGTAAAACTAAACATTTACAAACTATAATAAGTTAAATGCAAACAAGGAAAATGATCAGGAGAAGCCGAAGTCTACACATATTCAAACACTACACTTTCACAAGTATCAGCTGGTTTTATTGAGGCTTACAGTCTACGCTTTTGGGGGCTACCATTGGGGAATCAACTAGGTATATTGGCTAAAGCAGGGAGCTATAGTGCCCTGAGCTACGGATTGAACACAACGGGTGTCACAGCACGGGGTCAGTCTTGGCTAGCCGAAGCTATTGTTCAGCTTGAGTATCTTTTGACGCATTAGGTTTACCTGCTGGGCCATCGGGGGCACCGGCGCATAGTCGTCGTCACTGGCCACCGGATCGTAGATGGGCTCATCGTCCGAAAGATTCGGATCGTGTCCACCGTCGAAAGAGCCCAGACGCATCGAATGGTTAACGTACGGCAGCGATTGCAGCGACTGATTCGCCCCGTGCAGCGGGGCAGCGGCATCCAGCGGACGCAGGTTGGCCATGTTCTGGCGCCGCATTGCGTCGACGAGGACGTCGGTCAAGAGGCCAGCGAACTCGGCACGGTTGAAGCGTGCCAATTTCTGACGACCCTGTAAAGGCGAAACGATTTAGTAAAGATTTCTATTCAGAAAATTGAGTGTGTCCAAAACCTGATTGCGCGTGGCACTCAAAAACGGATTGGCCGGCAAAAATGGCACAGTTGCGTGGTCAGCATTCAGGGTGCTCGTCGCCCAGACTGCAAAGGATTAGAAAATTGCTTAATTTGGACTGTGGATATTGCCACGCAGAGATCCCACTCACTGGCTTCGCACTCGCGACGGTCCACCTCGTCGTACAGATCCATGACCAGCTCCTCGAACATCTTGTTCGGCACCAGCTGCAGCTTGCCTCGAGCTATTTTCAGCTGCTCGCTGATATCAGCGCCATTGGCATCGGGTATGATCATGTGGCGGCCACTCTGAAAGCAAGAGAAGGGGTTTTTGAGTCAGAAAATTCATTTGAAACTGATTTAATAAAACGCAAAACTAAATAAGATTTCACTCACCGCATGATCTGGCTTCTTGCCGCCCAGGAACATGATGATTCTGTCAGTGACATCGTACATTGCATCCTGCAGTCTCTCTGCTATGGTATTATGATTGTTGGCTCTGGCCAGTTCCAGCGGAGTGTGGCCGCCGTTGCCATCCAAGGCGTTCACATCGGCTCCGTAGATCAGCAGCATCTCGATCTGCGAGGCCTGGCCGAACTTGGCGGCCATGTGCAGCGGCGTGGAGAGCTTGTCCTCGTGGTAGTAGTTGGGATCGGCTCCCTGCACCAAGAAACGCAGCGATGTCTCCAGATTGCTGGTCCGCACGCTGGCATGCAGCTGGCGACTGAGCTCCTGCTCCAGGCTGCCCGCCGTGCCGTTGCCATCGTCGTCGTCCTGCAGACTGGGCTTCAGCACGAACGAGAGATTGACGTGCTTGGCCTTGATGAAGTCAGACTTGGTGGGATGCAGGGCATCCTTGGGCGAGGGCTTGCGCCAGCGAGGCACATGCTTGCCGGAGGTGGAGCCGCTGGAGCCATCCAGGAGATGGTGCTCCCACACACTGTTGGCGCCGTGGGCATTCAGCGAGTTGACGAAGTTCAGCACCGACGGTTCCCAGTTGCCCTGGCGCAGGGACTTCACGATCGAGATGTGCCGCCCCAGGCTGCGGTGGACGGAGCAGCAGTCGGCGCACAGGAGGATGCCCCGGTTGATGCTCGCCCAGGAGGGATCGCTGGCGCCGCAATCGCCGCACACCTCCGTCTGCAGGCGGGACTTGCCCCGCGACATCTTGCTGCTGCTGCTGGCCGAAATCCTGGGCGTGGTGGGGCTCCTCGTCTGCTGCTGCTGCTCCGGCTGCGGCGCTATAAATAACTTCTTATGCGCTTCGATTATGCTGCTGGCGAAACACATTCAGCATTCCAGGCTCCGTGGCTGCAGGGGGATAAAGAATAAATATAGAAAAAGTTGGGAAAACTCTCGGAAAAACTCAAGTGGCTTCTGCGTGAGTCAACGGCAAACTGAGGGCTCTGATTGGAAATCGGACTGGCTGGCGGCCAGAGGTCGAGTGTCCCCGCCAGCCCAGTTCACCCTGGTCGATCAATTAGGAAAATTACTTTTAATTAAACGCTGCTGGCTGCACTAAAAAAACATTTGCTCGGCGAAGGCTTTCTCTATTTTTGTTTTATTTTTACCACCGGCCAGTGTGACCAAAGAGGTTTTTGTGAAAAAGCGCCAGATTTAAAAAGGGATTATTTATTTTTTAAATATCTGAAGTATTTAAGTATGGGTTATGGGTGTGTAAAGTAAACAGAAATTCAAGTTTTCGAAAATCTAAATTTTATTCTAGAAAAATAAGCCACAGAAATCCTCTAAAAATTGTAAACAATCCAAATAGAGTTGTCATGAACCACCTCTGGTCTGAGTACCTTTCACCTTTCTGGCAACGCTATTGTGTTCATATAGTTGTCTCGCTCGCTCTGGGTAAAACATATGTTTACCAACAGACGACAGTTTGAGAGTCACTGTTAACCAACCACACGTGCAAAACATAAACAAAGTGCCGACTTACAATTGGGTTTTTATTGTTTTTACTTATTTAAAAAGGAAATAAAGCTGATTGGCATGGAGGTGGATAATCTGTACACTTCGGTGGCCTGCAATCGCTGCACAGAGTGCGCGGATTGGGGCCCAAATGGTCTGATTGCTTACGGAGCCTGCAATGCAGTTGCTGTTATGGACCCCAAGGTAACTTCTGTTTTATTTACATTTCACACAAACCATAATTTCTGCATTATGATTTTTACATTTCCAGTTTAATGGCAACTCGGCCAAGATTCTGTTTACCTTAGTGGAGCACACAAAGCGAGTAAACACTGTAAAGTGGCTCAACAACGAGAGGCTGCTCTCTGGCGGCGATGACGGAAATGCTGTTCTCTGGAAAGTGGACGACTCTGGGGCCACCAAGCATGTGCTCCTCAAGGGCCACACGAGTGGTGTGAACGCTGTGCATGGAGTGCGCCGGGCGGATTGCTCCTGGTTTCTGGCCACCGCTGCTGCGGACAGCAGCATCAGGCTCTGGAGCTACCTCGATGGCGTCGTTTCTTGCTTTCAAACTATCCAACTGTCGGGCGGCTTCTGCTTCTCCCTGCGCCTTACATTGCTCCCTAGCAGCGATCATGTTCTCCTAGCCTTCAGCGGCGATGACGAGAGCGTTTCGCTGTATGCGGAGCAGGTGGAAGCCACAGGTGGCGCCGACTCCCTGGGCCGGCAGTTCCATCGCGTCCACAAGCTCAGCGGCCATGAGGATTGGGTGCGCGGACTGGACTTTGTCTACGACGGAGAGGACCTGCTGCTGGCCAGCGGTTCGCAGGATAACTTCATACGCCTCTGGAGGATAGCGCCACGCAGCGAGGAGCAGATGCGCGAGAACCGCATAGATCTCCTGCAGATGAGTGAGAGCGAGGCCGAGATCAAGGTGGAGGAGAAGATCCTGCAGCTAGGCGAGCAGGCCTGGTATGCTGTGAGCCTGGAATCAGTGCTGTACGGCCACGAGGGATGGGTCTATGGCGTGCACTGGCACAAGACGAGGGAGGGAGGTGGGTAAACTGCTTCAGTAATATAAGAACTATTTCTTATCCTAATCTTAAATTTCAGAGCTGCGCCTGCTCTCCGCGTCCATTGACAAAACCCTCATAGTTTGGGCTCCCACCGAGGACGGCGTCTGGCTGGAGCAAGTCCGCGTTGGCGAGGTGGGCGGCAACTCGATGGGCTTCTTCGGCGGCAAGTTCTCCGACGACGGACACTCGATTGTGGGCCACAGCTACCAGGGCGGCTTCCACATCTGGAATCAGGACCCTGATCGTCCCCAGCTCTGGTCCTCCAGCGTAATTGTGGGCGGTCACTATGGCGAGGTTAGGGATCTGGCCTGGGAGCACGACGGCGCCTATCTGATGAGCGTATCGGCGGATCAGACAACGCGCCTGCACGCTCCTTGGCTGCAGGATTCAGCTGATCCCACCTGGCACGAGCTGGCGCGTCCGCAAATCCATGGCTACGACATGCAGGCCTTGGCCTTGCTTTCACGCTACAAGTTTGCTAGTGGAGCGGAGGAGAAGATCGTGCGAACGTTCCAGGCACCGGCGAACTTTATCGAAAACTTCCGGCACATCAGCAGGGTGGAGAGCGATGAGGCGGGAGATGCTCTACTGGATTGTAAGTCAAGTGCCCTGCATTTCCAGTTAACATTTCCCTTAAACTCCTTTTTCTCTTAGCTCTGCCCAAGGGAGCCTCTGTGCCCTCCCTGGGCTTGTCCAACAAGGCTGTGTACAAAGTGGACTCCAGTGCGGAGGAGACCGGCAAGGGCAAAAGCGAGTATCCCGAAAGCTATTTCGTTCCCATTACTCTGGAAACGCCGCCCCAGGAGGAGACCTTGATGCAGAACACCCTCTGGCCAGAGATGCAGAAGCTTTACGGCCATGGCTACGAGATCTTTGCCCTGGCCGCCACTGCGGATGGCTCTGTCTTGGCCTCCACCTGCAAGGCCAGCAATGCCGAGCACGCTCAGATAATCCTGTGGTGAGTTCAAGCGGGTGAAGGGGTGCGGATGAGAAGTTTACAGAGTTTATTGACAGGAACCCATCAAACTGGAAGCAACTGCAGAAGTTGAGCGGCCACCAGTTGACGGTCACGCAACTTAGTTTCTCTCCGGACGCCCGATACCTGATCTCCGTGTCGCGCGACCGCCGCTGGTGCCTGTACGAGAAGCAGCAGGACTCCACAGCGGGCTACCAGCTGGTGGCCAGCACGGACAAGTCGAACGGAGTGCACACACGCATCATCTGGTCATGCGATTGGTCGCACGACGGACAGTTCTTTGTGACCAGCTCGAGGGATGGCAAAGTAGTGGCCTGGCAAAAGGGGGACAACGACGACGCCTCCTCCCTGAACGGCTGGCGGGCGGCGGCGGTGCTGGAGCTCAAGAATGAGTCAATCACGGCGGTGGCTTTTTCCCATGACTACCTAAACGGAAGCAACGACACATATATTGTGGCGCTGGGCACGGAAAGTGGCCTGATAAAGATATATCAGTTGGTTAAGGGGGAGTGGAAGCTGCTCGCCGACTTGAACAAAGAGTGAGTAGCTATCAATCGTTAATTTTCCTCTATCTTATGGAAACTTTTTAGCCAAGCCCATCACCTCACCGTGAGGAGGCTCCGGTTCCGGCCCGTACAGAAGCATCTCCAGCTGGCGAGCTGCGGCGAGGATCACCTGGTGCGCATCTACGACATAAAGCTGACAGGAGTTTGACTTTGTCTGCATTAAACTAGCCTTATTAGCTTATGTTCCCCGATTTTAATTATGAGTCTGTGCAGACTGGGCAGGGAGCGGGTGGGTTGGGCCGAGCCCCAGACGAGCTAGACGCTATCTAATCTGTTTGCTGCAATTAGGCGTGTTCGGGGTTTTCCTCTGCTTCTGTTTTACCCCCCCGCTGCGATAACAAGTTATTGACACCTAATTAGGTGCAAAAGAGTTTCGATTTCGGGTATTTAAGTTGGTCTATTCCCATCTCTGGCTCACAGTCTGTTGTAACCCGTTCGAGATGAAGGCAGCTATAGTTTTGGCACTGATCAGTTCCGTTTTGGCGGCTCCGCCCATCAGGCAGATGCAGAGGCCTGACCACGACCAGTACTCGCATATATTTGCGCAAGTTCGGCCGCCGGGCCAGAAGCCCCAGAACATGGAGTTGCAGTTCCAGCCGCAGGGAGAGCTGACGACACAGCAGAAGTTGCCAGTCGAGGAGCATCACCAGGTGCAACTGGCGGATGTGCAAATGAGGCCCGTCGAGCAGAAGCCCCAGCATGTTGAGGTGGAGGTTGAGATCAAACAACAGCATCCCAACTCCTCTCCCAATCATCTGGTCGAGCTGGAGGTCAAGCCCGTGGAGCATAAGCCTCAGCATGTGGTGGAGGTTGACATCAAGCAGCAGCGTCCCAACTCCTCTCCCAATCATGTGGTGGAACTGGAGGTCAAGCCCGTGGAGCATAAGCCTCAGCATGTGGTGGAGGTTGAGATCAAGCAGCAGCGCCCCGAACACCAGAGGCCTCAGCATGTGGAGTTCGAGATCAAGCAGCACCAGGAAGACTCCGCCCAAGGGCACCTGGTTTCTCTGGGAACCAAGCCCGTGGAACAGAAGCCTCAGCATCTTGAGTTCGACATGGCTGTCCAGCACCCGGTGGAGCTACCCCAGCACCTCGAGCTGGAGATCAGCCAGGATAATAAGCACATGATGTCTGGACCCCACAACCAACACCTGAACCTCAGCCATCGCCAATAGAGAGTGGAAACTAAAAACTGTATCCGTATGGGAATGAGAGTGCATTAAATATGTATAATTACAAAAAGGTGCTTTTCACTGGCGCAAGTCCTCCCAAGGTGCTTGTAAAATGAGAAATAAATAAAAATACTTAGCTGAGAACGGGAACGGGAAGGGAGGGGATGCAGTGAGCGAGCACAAGGAGCCGCAGTTTGCAATTTCCGTTTAGCTGCATAGTTTTGGGCCAAGACAGCTATGGCTAAAGCCACGTGACCGGGAGGGATCGGGGATAGAGTGGATCCGGGGGTGCTGAGTTATGGCCAGAGCGTGCCACCTTTTTAACCGCAGCTTGCAATTTCCGTACTCCAACTGACTTTATGATTGCCATTGGCTTCTGGCTTCAGCTCCTGCTCCTGCTCCAGCGCCATTGTTGTCCAAACTCTTGGAGCGGACCGGCGCGGAGCTGGCAGTGCGGTTAATTGGCTGGCGGCCATCTTTTGCTGGCACTTTAATTATGTTTTTCGTGCAGTCCACAACTTCTCCTCCTCCTCCGCAGCCACATATAGCTTCTATATCCATCTACAATGTCGTTGAACCACCGCCGAGGAGCCACATAGATAAGCGCATAAATCTGCATTGTTCCCGGCTGCCACAATGGGGCAGAGAGTTAACTATTGAATTGCATTTAGGCCACGTCGGAGGTCGATTGTCCTCGCACCTATTCAGAGGCAGCCAATATCCCGGCGGGAAGTGCTCTCTGCCGGCCCCCATGGCTCAATCGGGATTGGGAAGAGGGGGTTCTTTCGGGGGTTCCTGCCCCGCCTCTGTGTGTTCACACTGAGTGGCGTCGATGGAAAAAATTGGAACAGAATTCGCGGCTCATGATTGTTTTATTCTTACACTTTGAAGAAATATTTGGATTTATTAAATTTCAGGAGGGAGCTGAGCCACAGATCCTGTTGGAAATTATAGCCTCAACAGTATAGTTAAAGTAAATTTAGCCTGAATGGGGCTTTTCTTCACTTCCTGTTTTATTTCTTTGATTAAAAACAATCTTTACTGACCTTAGCTTTTAATTAAAATCTTTAATTTTAACAATATATTTCCAATAATAAACATAATAAGGAATATAAATATTTATTCTCTCTGTACCTTACTCGCACGATTTTTATTTGAAGTCAAATATTGGCAAACAATGCCGGTCCCGGCCATTGCAATGGCGCTACACGCGCTTCCGCTTCCGTTCAAAAAGTTCCACAAAAATCCCATACATACATTCATGCATTTGTTAGCCGAAAAAACTTTTGTTGCAACTTGCATTGTGCTGTGGCATGATTCCGCACTCTTTATTTATTTTCTTACCCCCCGCCGCCATTTGTTATTGTTGCAACAATTTTGCATTTTGCGGAAAAAGTTTAAGTTTCAATTGCAGCGAGAACGTGCCCAAGAGTTGCTGACAGCCACTGCTACTGGTGCTGGAAACTGAAGCCATTCTGGCCATAACATGTGTAAACATATTCCCCAGATCCAGCATCCCAGCATCCTATAGCCAGCTTCCTACGCGAGGCAAACAGACATTCGTTTGCATGTGTGTCAGTAGTGGATTTCGCTTTGGCTGCGCTTTCTGTTTGCCTGCCATAGTTTTTCCTTGTTTGCCTTGACGTTCAATCTTCCGTATACTGTGGAAAAAAATCCCAAGAATCATAAGACCACAAGATTTTCCAAGGATACTGGACTCAATTAGGGGTTTTTCTGGAATTTATGCAAATAATATTAATAATATTCCTAAAAATTTAATTCTAAATCTTATAAAGTCTTTTTGAACATTTCCTAAGTATACAAACTTCCCTTTGATGGTGCAGTGCATCCTTTTCCGCCAGTTTTAGCTCCTTTTCGCCAAAGCCTGACCAGGGGAACGCGTATGGCTTGTTGGTACAACCCTTATGCTGGTCATCGTGTTGAGAGCACGGATGCTTGGCGTAGGATTATTAAATGTTCGACAAATTTATTTAGCAGTCACTTTATTTATTTGCTTAAGTTTTACAGAAAAATGCGCAGCTTTAAAAAACTTTGTATTTTATCCAGGCCGGTGCTTTCTCAAGTGGCCAGATACATTTCCAGGAAAAATACCTTTAATTCTTAGAAACCTAATGGTCACACCTTTTATAGCCCAGCTAAAGATTCGGTATCTATTTTATGGCGGTAACATTCCCCCCCCCGTGAACGTCCTTCGGATCTTCACCATCTTTTAGGCCGACGTCTAGGATAGCAATCTTGGCCACTGGGCGGACCATGATTCCTTTCGGTGTCCAAATTGTAGCTCGGCGAACTTGGCCATCTTTGGCCGTCACTACTTCAGTGATGCGTCCTTTGGGCCACATGTTCCTTGGAAGTTGATCGTCGACTACTATAACAATGTCGCCGATAGCTATTGGGGGACGTTTGGTGAACCACTTGCTACGTCTGGTCAAGTCTGGGGTGAATTCCTTCACCCAGCGGCTCCAGAACTTGTCCGCGAATAGTTGAGTCTGTTGCCAACGCAGCCTTAGATCGGTGTTGTCATCTGCCATGCGCTTATAGCCGCTCGTCGATCCCAGAAGTAAATGATTTGGGGTGAGCGCTTCGTCGTCGCCTGAATCTAAAGAGACAAAGGTTAGTGGTCTAGAATTGATGACATTTTCTGCTTCCATAAGGGCTGTTCGAAGGGTCTCGTCATTGAAGTTATTAGTTGGGCAGATTGATTTCAAAACAGTCTTAACTGATCTGACGAGTCGCTCCCAAGCACCTCCCATATGCGGTGCCGCTGGTGGGTTGAAGTGCCATTTAATCGCTTCATACTTTATAGTGATTTCGTCAAAGTCAATCTTTTTGAGTTCTTCTTTCACCATCTTCTCAGTTGCTTTAAAGTTGGTTCCGTTGTCGGAGAAGATTTCTTTTGGAGTCCCGCGACGTGTCATAAAATTTCGAAGACACATTATACACGAGCTTACATCAAGTTTATAGGCCACTTCTATATGTACGGCTCTTAGTGTCAGGCATGTAAAGAGGACTCCCCATCGTTTTTCCTTGTGTCTGCCGACGTTAACTAGTATGGGACCAAAGTAGTCAACTCCTGTGTATGTAAAGGGTCTCTCGAAGGAGGCTAGTCGGGCGGCTGGTATTGCAGTCATTTGAGGTACTTCGGGCCTGGATGTGGCGATTTTGCATTTTTGACAGGCTTTCCGAACTGTTTTATACAGCACTCGTAGACGAGGTATGTAGAAGTCGTTTCTTATGATATTTATTGTCGATTCGTGCATTATGTGATGTGATTTTTCATGGAGATCTTTCGTGATCAAAAATGCAATTCGAGACTTTTTTGGCAGAACGATAGCATCGTCAGGATTTATGTTATATTTTCTTCCCTGAACACGTAACACGCCTTCCTCATCCAAGTAGACATTCAGAGCAATCAAAGGACTTGATTTGTTCACGGCCGTGTTATTTTTGAGAGCAGTGATTTCGGCATAGTATGTCCTAGATTGTGCCTGTTTATATATCCACGACTTCGCTTTGCTTATGATTTCGGGGTCTAAAGTTCTTGGCAGTGGATTTCCAAGACATTTAGCGCGTATTCTTTTAATGTATAGCATAAAGGTTGCCACGGCTCTATACAAGCGTCTCCAATCAGAAAAGTATTCCTCTGCAAAATCAAAATGCTTTAGTTGGTTTATAATGAAGACATGCTTACGTAGCTCCGTCGGTTCGCCACTTTCGAGAGTAATGTCTTGTTCTGGCCATTCGTTTTCTGGCTTGGCTAGGAACTGGGGACCTTTTAACCAGCGATTAGCGTTAGGAGATTTGATAAACTTTGTGGCTGAGTCTGCAACATTTTCCTTGGTCGGAATCCAGCGCCATTGAGCTCGACTTGTGTGATCTATTATCTCCCCAACTCTATGCATGACAAAGGCTTGAAATTTTCGAGGGTCCATATCCAGCCACTGCAGTACTGTTTTTGAGTCTGACCAGTATGTGCTTGAGTTAATGTTGAGCCTTCTAATATTAATAACTTTTTTGGCTAAGTTCACTCCCATTACTGCTGCCAGGAGTTCCATGCGTGGTATTGAGACTGGCTTTAGCGGGGCAACCTTACATTTAGCTGCTACTAGGACTGTATCGATATCGGCTCCCTGCTTGATACGAAGATACGCAACTGCTGCGTAGGCATACTCGCTCGCATCTACAAATGTGTGTAAATCAATCTGGTCAGCATTCGGCAGCAGAGTTGAGTAGAAGCGAGGAAATTCCAATTTAGCAGCTTGAAGAAGGACAGTTTTCCATTGTCGCCATGATCCGAGTAAAGTGTCGGGTAATTCCTCGTCCCAGTCTATGCCTGCACGCCATACTTTCTGCAGTAGCATTTTAAGACCGATTGTGTAACATGATAGCAGGCCCAAAGGATCGAAAATGGACATCAGAACCTGTAGGGCTTCACGTTTTGTTGGTACAGTTTCTCCGTTTAGTACGTCTCTTTTAAGTCTCGCAAATCTGAAAGTATACTTAAAAACGTCGTTCGAGGGTTCCCAATACATACCGAGAACCTTCTCGGGGTCACCAAGCTCTTTGGGTTTCTGCTCGTCTATTTGGCGCTCTCCAAAATGCTTTAGGATGGCGGTAGAGTTTGAGATCCAATTTCTAATAGTGAAGCCTCCCTCAGCATGGATGTCACGGACTTTTGTGGTTACTGCGATGGCCTCAGTGTCGTCGGTGTAGCTGTCTATGAGATCGTCCACATAATGAGCCTCTGTTATGGACTCGAAAGCTCGGGGACACTGATCTTTGAACTCCTGCGCGTTTTTGTCACGTACATAATGAGCAATGCAGGGCGCGCAGCAGATACCAAATGTCATTGCACGCATGACGAATATACGTGGAGTTTTATTATCCTTATGAAGCCACAAAAATCGTTGAACATGCATGTCGCTCTGCTGGATGATAATTTGGTGGAACATCTCAGCGATGTCCGCGCACACGCCTATACGGCCCACTCTGAATGCCATTAGGACTTTGGTTAGCGAGTTTAAATAATCCGGTCCATTTAGCATAAAGTCATTGAGGGATTTGCCGTGGCTCTTTGCAGCTGCGTCCCAAACTAGTCTTATTTTATTTGGCTTGTTTGGATT